GTTGGATATTTTTATATGTTATAGATATACTTTGTTCTTATATAACGGCTGATCCATTTCGAGTCTTGAGGTTTTATGCTGCTGTACGAAATTTTTTCTTACGAATTTGTGTTATCTTTTGTGTATTCTCAATATATTCTCTTACAATATGGCTTAAAAATTTCGACTTTTTCTTATTTAGGTCTCATGTGTGTGTGTGGGGGGGGGGGGGGGTATTGGCGCAGTATAAAAATAGAGTCAACTAAGTTTGCCGGCAGCGTTCCTCCAGCGATTTTTTTTTACCACTACATCCCTGTTATTAGGGATTATGATAAAATTATATTATTCACTCTCTGCCTGAGGAAGGTGAAGTTGCCACCGTTCTCTGCTGTACTAGTTTGTCCGAAAGACCAAAAAGTGCAGTCAAAGCATTATTTGTACGTTATATACCGGTAGTGCAGATTTATCAGATTGTTCGCACCAATGGTCTTTCCTTTAACACAGTAGCTTATCCAGGTCGTTTTGTCTCTGAATATACAACAGTTTAAGGAAACATCATACGTGGGCATTAATCCGTATTTCACTAAAGCTTCCAAGAAATTGTGAACTGATAAGATAAAGTAAGTTATCCTTACTGGAGATTGTAAGAACCTTTAAGATGTTACGTAGCTCTCCCAAGTGTTATATATACACAGCCCATTACTGCATGTGTATTTAAGCAATTATTATTATTGCGGATGGCGCTTACAGAGGATTCACGTTACGTTTCCTTTTTCGTTATCAGAGGCAGTTTATCATTTTGACTGCTTGTGTTTAATAAGCAATCTTGCGTTCGGATGTGTGTGTGTGTGTGTGTGTGTGTGTGTGTGTGTGTGTGTGTGTGTGTGTGTGTGTGTGTGTGTGCATATATATATATAGAGAGAGAGAGAGATGGAAGGAAGAGAAAGAGGAAAAAAAGTATATATATATAGATACATACATAGACAGAGAGAGAGAGATGAACATAAGAGAGAGAGGAATAGAAAGAGAAATAGACAGATAGTTAGAGAGTGAGAAAGAGAGAGAGAGATTGCAGTTTCTTTGTTTTAGAAAAAAAATAATTCGACGTAAAGGAACTAGGTCAAATCTCGGTTCAAACCTTCGTCATTTACGCCGGAAAAAAAAGCTTCTTGTCTCGTTCAAACTGGACATGACAGATATCAATAAATTCCAGAAATTCGTGTTAGATATTGGGACAACAGATCGGTAAGTTTTCTTATCTTTATTTCCAGATGACAGTAAAAGCATAAATCACATAAAAAAAAGTCCAGTGCCAATAGGCCTCTCTCTCTCTCTGGCCCGACGTCCTTCGCAGGCCTTTCCTTGTTCCTCTCTCACCGCGCCGCCGCCCGTCAGCCTCACAAAGCCGACGCCAGCACGCACCTGAGCAGCACGACGCCCGTGGGGTTCACGTGCAACTTCACCTCGTCGTCGGGATGCACGACGCCGAGGCTGTAGTTATCGAAGAGGTCGGTCACGTGGTAGCCGTCGGCCGAGGTCAGGCCGAGGGATTTCAGGGTCAGTGTAACCTGTTAAGAGTGAGACAAGGGGTTAACATATACGTATACATATATATATATATATACACACACATATATACATATTTACATTACACACACACATACACACGAGCATACATGTATATATAAACATACACACACACACACACATATATACATACACACACACACACACACACATATATATATAATATATATATATATATGTATATATATATATATATATATATATATATATATATATATACATACATATATATATATATATATATATATATATATATATATATATATATATATATATATATATTTATTTATTTATGAGATTTATATATATAGATTTAATCATTTACACACACACACACACACACGCACACACACACACACACACACACACACACACACACACACACACACACACACACACACACACACACACATATATATATATATATATATATATATATATATATATATATATATATATATATATATATATATATATATATATATATATATATATATATATATATATATATATATATATATATATATATATATATATATATATATATATATATATATATATATATATATATATATATATATATATATATATATATATATTATATATATATATATATATATATATATATATATATATATATATATATATATATATGTGTGTGTGTGTGTGTGTGTGTGTGTGTGTGTGTGTGTGTGTGTGTGTGTGTGTGTGTGTGTGTGTGTGTGTGTGTGTGTGTGTGTAAATGATTAAATAAATATATATAAATCTCATAAATAAATATATATATATATATATATATATATATATATATATATATATTTATATATATATATGTGTGTGTGTGTGTGTGTGTGTGTGTGTGTGTGTGTGTGTGTGTGTGTGTGTGTGTGTGTGTGTGTGTGTGTGTGCGTATGCGTGTATGTGTATGTGTGTG